TTAATTGTTTGGGTTAACGGACACGAACCTATACACCCCAGCAAGTAGGTGAGGAAATACTTAGGATTCTTCCTAAGTCATGGGCTAGTAGATGCAATTACTAAAGCGAAGGACCTGAAGGTGCACACTATGGATGCATTGATTAAGAATCTTCAAACCCATGAAATGCACCAAAGACCCTTCCAAGAAAGAAGCAAAAAGGGATAAATCACTAGCTCTCAAGGTGTCACGAAGTGAAATCTCTCAACTGGATAGGAGATGGCCAATCTCACTCGAAGATTTCAAAAAATCGTGAGAAAACATGGAGGTTTCATGAAGAAAGGAAACCCTGACAGAGCTGCAAAGGCAAATGACTTGTGTCACAAGTGTGGTAAACGAGGTCACTACCTTATGAAGGTAGGAGAGGGTGTTTCCAAAGGACCCTCCGCTCAAAAAAACATATCAAAATTAGTATGAAAAGGAAAAACAGTAGTGAAGAAGCCAAACATGTCGAAAAGTGGGGAATAAGTAAACATAATTGTATAAAAAATATTAAGTCATCTTATCGTTAAAATGGTTTAGAACCAACAACAACAGCAGTTTTTATAATCATTGGCACAGAGGCAATGTACAGAAGGAAAGGGATGAAGCAACTATAATATAAGAACTATTTTGTTGCCTAAACTTGCTTTGAAATTTCTAATTTCTAAGTCATGGCCAATGTACAATGAAAAGTTAAGTCGGCAAATTGCCTCTAACTGTCATCGGGTGTTGCAGCTCTTTTCTCCTGTTCAATGAAATGTGTTTGTCTTTTTATAATCTTTCTGTCATTTTATTTCGACGATATAAGATAAACGATATTCATAAAGAAACATTAACTTTTATATGAATGTCCTTTAATGAATACATAAGGTAAAACTTCCAGGAATAATTTTTGTAGTCTTTCCCAAGTTGTCGTAAACTAGATTCTGAATAACAAATGTACCAAGAGCTCATTTTCAGCTCTAGTCTCATATGACGGCCACGGTTCATCCACCAGACTTGATTTTCTATGCCCTTAGAACTCAAGGATAAGGAGGTACGAGCCTATAGAACAGATCCTATTCAAGTAAGGTCGTGTCCATTGATGTAATGACTTGGCTGCATGGATAACTTATCAATGTGGGAGATAAGGTGCGAGGAAGAAAAAAAGAAGTAATCAACTCCTATAAAACAAATCTTGTACAAGTAAGGTCGTGCCAATCAATGTAATATGAAGAAATAAAATGATTAGCTTTCCGATTTTGCATTATGTAATGAACCTGGATGGAACAGATTTTTGATAATCATCCTTGGGGTCAAGGATTGTTTGATCCGGGCGGGAATGTGATGACCTGAATAAATGAGTTAAGTGAAAAATAAAGAAATGACGAATAGAATTATAACACTTGGACGTACGAGATTTAATTGGAGTTAATGAAGCTGAAGGACTGTGATTGCACGTGAGCATCCTATAACTAAGTCCCGGAAAGAGCAAGAGGGGCATTGATCAAATTGGTATTATTCTCGTGCTCTCCTATCTCTCTTCTAACAGAATCTCTCTTCTTCCTTCTAATCTAAATATTCTGCCCTGTCCATGGCAGCTTACTATCTTAATTTCTAGTTTTCCTTTATTTCCTTGCATTTCTGTACAATCTCGTTTGAATGAATATAGAAAATTGTTCCAAAAAAGAGAATTGTTCAGTCATAGTTGAATTTCGTTGGATTTTAATTCCTAAATAGAGGTCAGATCCTGACACATTAGGAATGACATGTTTTTGTTTGGATTTTAGGTCTTACCATAGATTGTTTTTTGTTAAAAAGGAACCTGAGAAAGAAATGGTTTGCACCCAATTCAGAAAAACAAACCATTTCCTTCTCAAGTTCTTCTGTAACCAAAAACACAAGAAGGGAAACTAGGCCATGGGCCTTGTTGATCACCCATTCACCCCGTTCAGGTAACTTGGTTTTCATGGATTACTTATCGATGTGAGAGACCAGGCGAGAGAGAGAGAGGGAAAAATGAAGCATTCAATTCTGTCAACCTATTTGTTTATGTTTATTTTCTCTTTTATTTTTTTAAAAAGATATAAATTATTGAGAATGTGAGTACTAATATAATTCACAAGCCTATAAATGAGATACTAGAAAATAGTTGTACTTTGGATTGGGTAGGGGCTGCGCGAACGCAGGCCCCCGCTGCAACAAATTATGACGTAGGCTCGACTACTTGAGCCGACCTTAGGAAGGCACCCCTCCAAAGTGCAATGGAGGTCACCAACCTAGGCCATAGGTCTTATTGATCGCCCATTGACCCCGTCCAGGTAAGTATGTTTCTTCGTTGTCCTTGGCCCTTATTTATAGTATCTCCTCATTACTCTTCTGTTTTATTTACTTAGCAATGTGGGAGTAAGTCATCATTATTCAATTTTCATTTCAAATTGAATTTCAATTTGGCAAAGCTAAAAATGTGCAAAGTGATGCATTTCTATAGAGGCCTATAGCCTGCTTGTTGTACGTACTACAATCTACAAGATCATATCAAAGATTATTTCATGCAGGATCATCAGATCAGTTATTGATGGTTTAGTGGGACATACACAATCAGCATTCATACCAGGAAGGGTAATATCATACGTAGTCATGAGTTGGTGAAAGGATACACGTACATATCCCCTCGATGCATGATTAAGGTGGATATTCAGAAAGCACATGATTCAGTGGAATGGCATTTCATTCAACAGATCTTAACAGAGTTGGGCTTCCCTAATCAGATGGTGCAATGGATTATGACTTGTGTGACTACAATAAGCTATAGCTTTCAAATTAATGGAATGTTGTCAGAAATCATGATAGCTAAGAGAGTATTGAGACATGGTAGCTATATGGAATTCAAGCATATTGGTCAAGAATTTTTCTGCTCCCACAGAAGGTGATTAAGCATGCCGAACCTATCTATGGACAGGTGATGCTACAATCTCTAGAAGGGCTTTAGTAGCTTGGGAGAAGATATGTTTACCAAAAGGTGCTGGAGGTCTGAATTTCATCAACTTAAAGATATGGAACCACTCAAATTCAGAAAAACAAATAATTTTCTACTCAAGTTCTTCTGTAACCAAAAAAAATAAATAGGGAACTAGGCCATGGGCCTTGTTGATCACTCATTGACCTCGTTCAGCTAAGTATGTTTCTCCGTAATTGACCTTGGCCCTTTTAGCGTCCCCTTGCTACTCTTCTGTGTTATTCACTTGACGGTGTGGGATTATGATATTATTTGCCAAGGAACCAGTGCTAGTCTACAAAAAGAGTAATTAACATCCTCAATATCTGAAAGAAGCAATACCTGTGCTTAGTTTATACTACTGATTACTCCTGAAAAATCAGAAACTTTAGATCACATCATTAAACAATAGTAGTAAATTCGTTTAACGTTGAGGGGGGGGGGCATATTTAGAGTTTAAATTTTACGGTTTCAACTTCTTAAATCTTGTCATTGTTTCATTGAATCTATTGCACTTATGGAATCTTGGATTCAAAGTTTAAAATTTGTCACAATTTTATAAACTTTTAGATAGATAGACACCTTTTTGTCGAAAATGTTGGATCAAGCTGAACCACGAGCAAGCATGCTACATCCTCCTCTGACACATTAATCAAAACAACATATACAAGAGAATACAATGTATGGCTTAACTTGTTTTGAAGATTCAATGTGAGTGAAACCAGCAAATAGAGTCGAGCACTACACCAAAAATGGTCTTTAACGGCAATAGCTTAATTGCCGCTAAATATGTATTTTTAGCGGTAATTAGTATTCTTTGTAAATGTCGCTAAAGCCTATAGCAACATTGGTTCCAATGGCATTTAACTAATGTCGGTAAAGGCTTTAGCATTCTTTGTTAATGTGTATATTGATTGCCGCTAAAAGTTTTTTTTGTTTTAGTGAAGACAGTCTGACAACTTCTAGACTATCTCAGGCTGAGAACGATTATCTACGACTCCATGACCCCGAATGACCATGGAGGCTGCTAATCATGCTCTTTTGTGTAGTACTTCAGGTGTTATGATGATCCTCGCAAATGTCGGGACCTGGTCCTAGGCAGAGTAGCTCTCGTCCAAGTCCAATATGGTGAACAGCTGTAAAGCTGTCCTTGTCGGGCTGGTTGGTGAGAAGGACAGTGTACTTCTCCAATGAGAATGGACGAAGTTGTTTGTTCAGTGGACAATACTTCTTGGTGATTGATATATCCAAGTGAACAAACAACATAGGAACTAATTCAGTAAAAAAGGTGTTTTTTGTCTTTCAAGAACTCAAGCTTTAAGAACTCTCACAACAAGGGACCTGAAGCAATCTTGTAGTGTTGATGTTTTAAATGCTTGTATTGTGCTGAAATTGTAGGATTTGTTTCTCATCTATAAAGAAACGTATCAAGTGTTAGAGTTAATTGCGTGTCTTACAAGTTGAAGTCTATATTAATTAGAGTTAGTTAATATAGATCAATAATCACAAGCTTGTCAAAAGAGATGCAAGAAAACAGTTGTATTTTGAATTTGGTAGGGGCCGCGCGAACGCAGGCCCCCGCTGTAACAAATTATGACGTAGGCTCGACCACTTGGGCCGACCTTAGGAAGGCACCCCTCCAAAGTGCAATGGAGGTCACCAACCTAGGCCATAGGTCTTATTGATCGCCCATTGACCCCGTCCAGGTAAGTATGTTTCTCTGTTGTACTTGGCCCTATTTTATAGTATCTCCTCATTAATCTTCTGTTTTCTTCACGTAGAGATGTGGGAGTAAGTCATCATTTTTCAATTTTCATTTCGAATTGAAATTTCAATTTATTGAACATCCATCAGTTATCACATTTGCTATGTAGTTTAACCTTTGCACAAATACTCATCCAGACAATGCATTTTCCTTGTGAATGCAGTTGTTCTTTTGATAGTCCTTCTGTCATTTTATTTCGACGATAGCCTCCTTGAGCATCAGGTACTATTTCCATGCAGCCACGCAGTGAGCACAGAGTGAACTATTCTTTTACCTTTTACTAAAGAATAATGTGCACACGCTGCAAATAGTGGCATATGCCTATTTTTGAACAATTCCATAGTTATTTCCAAGTTGGCGTAAACCAGATTCTGAATAACCAATGTACCAAGAGCTCATCTTCATTACAAGAAAATCGTTTGGGGTTCTGCAGAACCTGTAACTTCAAGTGTAAATAAAATGTTATATGTATGTTTGCTTAGTTATTGTCAGTGATAAGAGAGAAATAAAATGAAGGGTAGTCGAGAACGATCCTCTATGGCTCCATGACCCCTGAAAGGCCACGGAGGGTGTAATCATGTGTTGGTCCATGGTCGCGGTTTCTGGTCTCCTTAGTAAGGTTGTGCTAATCAATGTTGCTACAATGTAATATGAAGAAATCAAATGATTAGTTTTCTAATTTTGGATTAGGTATTGACATGTTTTTGTGTTGGATTTTAGGTCTGCTAATATTGATGAATGAAAATATAACCTAAGTTTTCTTACCATAGATTTCTTTTGTTAAAAAGAACTTGAGCAAGAAAATTGTTTGCGGTATTCAGAAATTCAGAAAAACAAACCATTTTCTACTCAAGTTTTCCAGTAACCAAAAAAAAAATATGAAGGGAAACTAGGCCATGGGCCTTGTTGATCACTCGTTGACCTCGTTCAGGTAAGTATGTTTCTCCGTAATTGACGTTGGCCCTTTTATTTATGTGATGAAATCAGCAAAAAGAGTTAAGGAGTCTGTCAGACAGCCATGAGACCATCTCAAGCCAGTGAACCAGGTTGAGAACGATCATCTACTGCACCATGACCCCGAAAGGCCATGGAGGCTGTCAATCACGCTCGAGTCTCATGGCCATGATTCATCCACCAGACTTGGTTTCCTGTCTCCTTAGAAATCAAGGATTCAGTGGTACGAGCCTATAGAACAGATCCTGTTCAAGTAAGGTCGTATCCATCTATGTTGCTGCATTGTAATATAAAGACTTGGCTGCCTGGCTAGCTTATCGGTGTGGGAAGAGAGGCCAAAAAAATAGAGTATTTAATTTTTTTCCTGTCATTATGAGTCGTTAACACTTTGAATGAAGCTTCCTTTTGTTAGAAGATTTATATTCTTTAGTTCCTAAGGAGTCATTTGGTTTGAATTCAAGTTATTATGAATAAGTTATGCTGAGACTATTTTTTATCGAGTGTTTGGTTTATTGTATCAAAAATAATATGCATTGCATAAATTTTAAGAAAAAGTTATTTGTTTACAAAAATACTCTTCATAAATGTGAAAAGTAATGTATAAAAGGGTTTTGAAGGAATATCTTTGTCATTTACGGATATCCCGGAATTACTATACATCCAAGGAGAGGAGAGGGATAACTTTTCAGTACTAATTATTAATCTCGGAATAAGTTATTCAAACTTGCCAACCAAACAACAAATTAAGTAGCACTATAATTTTATGTGCTTAAGTAATTCATAAAGACTATAATTGATGAGATGCTTAATAGTTGTATATTGAATTGGGTAGGGGCGCCCGAACACAGGCCCCGCTGCAACAAATTATGACGTAGGCTCGACTACTTGAGCCAACCTTAGGCAGGCACCCCTACAAAGTGCAATGGAGGTAAGATCTACATATACGCTCTATCCTAAAATAGACGAGGGTTAAAGCTAGACTCATGTTATCATAGTCCCAAAAAGATGTAAAATAACAGTACTATTACTGTTCTGGTTATCTCCTGAAAGTTCTAGATGGTGTTCGATTTCAGTGGATAATACGTCCCTCCCTCCACTCTCCTCTGAATACCCTTCATCTCAGCGTATTCAAACCATGACATGCGCTTAACCCACACATCAAACGTTACACTCTTACCACTAGACAAAAATTATCCCCCATTCTACTTGTAGTTGAAACAGATTTTTGTCCTGAACCCACAATCAAATGCTGAATGATTCAGCCATTACTGATTGTTGCTGCCCTACTTATTCAACCATATAGCTAGTCAGAATATTGATCAAACAAAATTCACCCATTGCAACAATATAGAACAATAGTCTAATAACATATCCAACGTAATCCCACAAGTGAGGTCTAAAAAGGGTGGTGTATACGCAACCGTACCACTACCTTGTGAAGGTAGACAGGTTGTTTCCGATGGAGACTCGGCTCAAGGAAAGCATATCAGCATCAGAATGAAAAGGATAAGTAAACATAATTGTAAAATATTAAGCCATCTTAACGCTAAAAAGGTTTGGAACCAACAGGCAACAGCAGTTTTGATAATCATTGGCACAAAGGCATTGTACAGAATGAAAGGGATAAAACAACTATAGCTTAAGAACTATTTTGATGCCTAAACTGGCTTTGAAATTTCTAATTTTCTAAGTCATGGCCAATGTACAATGAAAAGTTAAGTCGGCCAATTGCCTCTAACGGTCATCGGGTGTTGCAGCAACTACATGTACATTCAGGTGAACCACCTCTGACAACTTCTAAAAGCAGCCTCCTGCAAAAGAGAGAAACACAAAATAACCGGTCAGTTAAGGTGACGGTAAAGTAAACAGACGATCTTGAGCCTTGCTCAACCACAAAGTTCGCTCACGAGATGAGGAGTGCTCAAGACAATATAACAGAGACAACAACTAGTTCTCTCCACCAATGTAGGAAAATAAACACCCTCCCCCCTATCCTCGCACCCACGCCCAAGACTAGACATTTGAAAGTTGAAACATAGAAAGAATCACACTGATATCATATAAAGAAACGTGTAAAGACTACAGTTCACATATTAAAACATACTGTTTTTAACTCCTCAGACCCAAAGATGCAAGCAAACTCCCAAACTGAATGATCGAAAGATAACATCACAATCCAAATCTAAAGAATTCTCTTCTTCTTTTTTAATACAGACTGTAAGAATCACCTAGTGATTTTGCCTCCGGAGGAATTTGAATCTGAGACAACTCACTTCATTAACCACTAGGCAACACCCTTGGGTGTAGAATTTTCTTTTTAAATGACAACCATGAAGAAATTTTTTCCCAAACATCTCAAGCCAAGCTAGATATTGCAGGTACTATATATTTATAATAGTGTTTGGGATACATACCTACACATTATAGTCAGGTGGACTTCACTCAAAACCCAGGAAAATTATGGAAGCTGAAAATGTACGAAAGAGGAGGTAATCTACTGGAATTCCTGATGTGTCCTTGAACATGTTAGCTTAACTGGGGAACTCAAAAATGTTAGGAGCTCAGCAGGTTCTTCATCTTCTTTCACAACCTATCAATCGCATGTTTAGAGAGAATAAGCATTGAGATAAAACACATCAAACAATACAACACAAATCTAGCTAATAACCCACCCACCCCAAACCAAATGAAAGAAAACAGAACAGAACAGAAAGGAAGGGTAGAGCACCACTTGGAAAAATCCAAGCAAAATACACATCATCCTACAACATTGTGAGTGCTTATGCCACCAACAATTCGGGAAAGCTATTAACTGATACTGATCTTAATTAATTAAATAGAAGAATGAATTGTATAGACATGTTATATTAGCATCTTCTGTTTTTCCTCGCATATAATATGCAGTTTCAACTCTGAATCTAGCAACGTGGCAAAATGCTCTATTCAACTAGTGTGGCAACGGGGCCAGAACGACAGCAAAATCCAAAACCCTGATCAGGCATCACACAAGAAAATATAACTTGCGCTAAATTAACTAAAAAATAAGAGAAGGTCAAAGGCAAAGGATGAAGAGCATTTCCTGATTCTAGCCACATACTAAATTTCATTTTTTTTCCATTTTGTTTTTGTGAATGTTACATCTGAAACATAGAAGAACCCATTTATCAAATACTATGAGCAGCTAAAAAAAAACATATATGAGCGGCTCTAGAACTCAGATCAAGAAAAGCATGCAACAATAGTACAAGAGTATGAAATAGTGATATACCTCAATGTTGGTATCATTTGGCAGAACCATTCGATGAAGAACATCTGTAGCAGCCTGTTTCCAGTCAATATCCCCTGGATCACCAAGCCCTTTGCAGCTTACCTTCCGAATCTTGCTAATCTCACAAATAAAAGACCTTCCTACCCAAACATACACAGCTCTACCTGCATCTTTTCCAGAACCTGAAGTTGGAATAATGAAAATATATGCACCTTTAGAATCCAAATCATCAATGCTACAAATAGCAAGTTTCTCCAAGCTGGGCCAACGATATACAACATGTTCCACTAGGTTACAAGATGCTCCACCAGTATCCACAACACCATTTAACACAGCCGTTCTCCTTTCATTGCATGGTATTTTCTCCAAATACTCATGAAAGCCACTAAGAACAGCAGGTTCTTTATCAGATGGAATACCAATGCCTAAAATATCCAAAGAACTATGCAATTCATCCATTTTACACTCAATTATCTCTTGTGGGGAATGTAAAATCTCGGCTGCAGTCGCTGCTTCATTAAAAGATTCATTTGTCACTTCTGATATGCCAATGTCACCTTGATCATTGGCAACACTCTTCAAATGACCTGCTTTACTCTCAAAATCATCAGTCAGCAATGGCAGCTTGAGACCCTTCGACAAACTACCTCTCCGCTCCGCAATAGAGAGGGGAAACTTTTTAGACAGCGGAGGAGCTGTTTGTGAAGAAGTCTGGGAAGTGAAGGTGACATCAATATACTTTGACGTTTTAGATATGGACTGTGGAGAAATCTTGGAAGGGAGAACAGACACACTGGAGTCAGATGGAGTTGAAGAAGTTAAATCTGCACAAGAGATAACTGAAGGTGACACTACTGGAGAATCAGAAAGACATTTTGAATTGATGCTTGAATCAGACGAGATGGAGTCTGGAGAGAGATAAGGAGGTGATGAGGCTGATGATGAAGAAGATGTTGAAGATAAGGATATTGTAGTTGGTGATGGTGAACACAAAGACGATGAAGACAACATAGAAGAAGAATGTAGTTGTTTAGTTGCACAATTGTCTCTCGTTATAAACATAGAATCAGGATAGACTCTAGAGATACCTGACTTTGTTGAAAAGACAAAATCCCTCATATTCCCCGATACAAATTTTCGCCTTAGCATGCTCCAAGAACTTTCTCTAACTGGAAGGTGGGTTTCATGTTCAGTCTCACACGACGCAAAAGGAGGAACAAAGCCACCTGAAGTAGCTTTTTGGAAAATCTCAAAGTCAACATCGTAATTATCCACCTTTCTTTCCCCTGGACAAACCTTACTTGATGACTCAACAACATCCCCTCCATTCTTTAATTTGTCCATCAATGGCAGGAAATTGGAGAAAGCGTCCCAGAAGTACAGAGGTTCCTCACCTTCCATGACTGTTATGATAGGGCCCTGAACTTTCTCATAACGAACAATCTGGCAAACAGCCCCTCTGGCATCTCTCTCCATGATTGCTTCACATTTCTTACCAATCCAAACATATATTGAAGAAGGTATATGTATAATAAACGCACCTCTAGAATCTAATGCTGACGGTGAGGGATCATTTAACATTTTTGGGACGAGATGCAAAGGATCGTATGGTGAATGAGGTGCGACTCTGTACAACCTTAATAATGAACTTGGGCTCAAAGGAGAAGCATGAACCCTTTTTTGGCATTGTAACAACTGACAAGCAAAACCCATATTTGGATCCGCAATACCCCTTGCTGCCTTTACATACTCAAAGGCGTCATCAAAACTTTGTCCTTCTCTCCACATACGATAAGCAATAACCAACGAGGTTGACCGAGAGACCCCTTGGCAGCAATGAACAAAAATCTTTCCATGTTGCTCCCTGACATCTTCAAAGTAGTCAAAAACATCATAGAGAATACTAGTAATATCTTCTGACGGGCTATCCTGCAACCACAAAGTCCGGTATACGAAATCAGACTTGAAATACTCAGGGCATACAAACCCCACACAGTTAAGAACATGGGTAATCCCATTTTGTTTTAGTATATCCTTATCTCTTGCCACTGCATCCCCACCAAGATAAATATGTTCAGCCACCTTTGAACACTCTTTATCGAAGAAAGCAATTTTTTCTCTTCTCACAAGCCCACCATTAGCCTCTGGATTTTTATGTATGTTTGACAAATCCAGCTTAAGCCTCTCACTGTTGCTGTGTGAATCCCTCCCACTGGGGGTGGCAGGAAGTGGCCACTCTCCAATATCATCAGATCCTGCTCTCGGCCACTCATCTAAACTTCTACGAGCAATTGCTAATGGCTGCAACGGTGGCAGACACGACCTAGCCTTGAAACTATGTTGCGACCTAGGAGTTAAAGGCCTCCGACCGTGAGAACTATTACTTCCATTTGCGTCCAAGCCATCTTTTTCCATATCTGGGTTAAGCGGAGGCAGTGAAGTCCTCGAAGACGACCAAGATGCTGACCGCCAGTACATTCTCCGACCATTTGCAAGTTGACATTGTTCCTGAGAACCATCAGCTCCACCAGCTGACGCATCTTCCTTTCCCGGCATTCCGACAATCAAAACTAGGGACAAACTCTAACTGCCACAGTGAAACTTCAGATACAAAATTCCCTAAGAACTTTTAAATTTCTGATTTTGAAGTTCACATCCAGTAAAACTAACACGAAAAACCACCAAGTCAGACCCACCCCAAGTAAACCGAACTAAACAAAACTAAAGCTCCGCAAATTTCACCTGCAAAAGTGTTGAACAAAAAACAAAAAAAACAAGTCAAACAAAGTCAAATACTCCACACAACCAACAACAACATACGCTACAACAGCCCATCCCCAAAGTGGAGTCTTGGGAGGATAGAGTGTACGCAACCCTTACCCCTACCTCAAAGATAAAGAGGTCTTTTCCAATAAACCCTCAACTCAAGACTCCACACAACCAATTACTGAATATCAACCAAACAATCAACTAGTTCTTAGGAGGGTAGAGTGTACGAAAACCTTACTCCTAACCCAAAGATAAAGAGGTCGTTTCCAATAAACCCTCAGCTCAAGACTCCACACAACCAATTACCAAAAAATCAACTAAACTTCAACAACAAAACTAGTCAGGTCAGCTATATTCACCTTTATATACCCATTTTGCTCTATTTAAACCCCCTTCACTCCAACATAACTACACAATCAAAACCACCCCATAAAAAACAAATCTTTCACAAATCTGAGATTCAGAACCTAGCAGCATAACACATAAACAACAGTAACTAACCAAGATCTAAAAAACCCACACTCAAAAAAACACAAAAATTCAAGAAAACACCATATCTTTTAAGGATTCAAAAACCCCAAGTGTTAAAAGTAAGTGTACAGTCTCTAAATGAATCCATACAGTAAAAAAATAAAATAAAAAACACCCATTTTATGCTATGTGTAGGAAGACAGAAAAAAGGGAAAATCTTGGATTTATAACTTACTGAACATAAATAAAAGTTACCATCATTGAGAAAGAGACTCACAAGAACAAATTTTTGCCAAGGAACTGTGTGAAGAGTATAAACAAGAACGATGAGAGGTGTAAAAGACTGTAGCAAAACAATGAAATGATAGAAAGAGGCAAAAAAAAAAAAACTATATAGCGGCCTTTTCTTTTTTTCCTTTATTTATCTCATTTTACTTGCATTGGTATTCAAAACAATTCTTTCTTACCCGCAGTGGGTAGGACTGCTCCTCCTTTGATCGAGTTTTCGAGTTTAAATTTTATGTATGATAATTGGCCTCTATTGATGAGTCTCTTTAAATATGGATTTACGTAGTGTAAATTCAGAATAATCAGGCTCTATTGAGGGGATATGGTACATCAGGTGAGAAATCAAAAAAAAAATCTTTGAATTTAACTGTCAAAAGCACACCAAACAAAAAATTATATTTTCGCGCCTTTTATATTTTTAATTATTTATTGTTTTCTTTCTTATATAAATTACGTATCAAATTTTCAGTATAAAAATGTATTTTTGATGTTGAGTTGATCAACATATAGCTAATACTGACGAAGTGGTTCACTCATAAAAGCAGAGTAACGCAAAATGAAATACTGAATTGAGATATTTGAGGAACACTGAATTTAAAATGTTTATACAATTATCTATTATAAAAATAAAAAAAATAGTGAAGTAAAAATATCAAAGTAATAGCTAAAAATCAAGTAAATTGAAAAATATATGAGTATTTAAAATTTGTTTAGACAATTGATCATAATTCTTCAAATTATCAAATTTCTAGTATGCTTCTCTAAGAAATGAAACATTACCTGATAAAATTTTGATTCAACTCTATAGACAGTTCTGTTTTGAGAATGAGAGTCTTCTCTCGACTCTACCATTTATATAGGGGTGTAGGATCTGTGTTAAGAACAGAGCAATAACTGAATTGTCCATTATATTTTATTAGATATGCTCGTCATTTATTCGAATGACCTTCTCATAAATAGAAATAGCCTGATTTACGCATTTCATTAATCACGAAAGTTGAATAGAATAAGAAACAAATCAAATTGTCAAATATGAGTCTCGAAAAAGGAGAAATTAATTACGGGAGTTTCAATTCAGTAAATTAGTCAATTCAGTTTTGAATTCATTCTTGACTCTGTCACTAGTATAACGTAATTCAGGTATAAAAAAAAAGACCGAAGCAGTAAATGAAATAGTCTTTTTTACACTTTATCAGATATGTTTATATATAATGTTTTGTTGACCTTTTCATAATTAGGTTCTTCCGTTACAAAAAAAATTAAAATTATTTTTTTATATGGTGTTCGACATTTATATTTAAGCTCAATTAATTTAAATTCGTACATTGTAGAACTTATTTTGAGCCAACACTTCCAATAGGATTTCTTTCATTTTGAGGGTTCAAACATGAGACTTTTGATTAAGGTTGAAGAAACTCTAATCATCCCACTGCAATCTTATGTTAATGGTTTACAAATTTGATTAATGAAATTCAATTTTTTGAAACATATAACATGAATATTTAATTGGAGTACAAAAGCATCTTAATATATTTATTTTATGATTAAGGGTTAAAATGTTCTTAAATTATGCGGAATTTAATAAAAAATGTTCTTAGTTAATAGTTTGACCTAAAAATGCATGTGTTGTCACCCACTTGGTCTAAAAATGCTCCCATTATTACTTAACGAGTTAAAATGTCTTCTTCTTTATTTATTTTTCAAATGAATAAATTGTTTTTTAAAAAGCATTATTTTTCTAATGCTGGTTTTTTTAATTAGAAAATATTTATCCTATTTCAATTCAAAAAAAATAAGCAGTAAAAATATTTTCTATTTTCTTAAAAAAAAATTATCGTTATCTAAATAAAAATTAATGACAGGTTCACTATAGTCTTATATATATGGCATATATTATCAATTTGAAAAGTACATGAAATTTTTATATTTTAAGTGTTAAAATAAAATTAAGAAGAAACAATATTATTACCTATTTATTTAATAGTTAAAGTGATTTGAAAAAAAAACAAGAATTAGGTTCTTCAATAGTAATAAAAATAGAAATATATTTATTAAAAAAAAGATATTTTTAACCATTAATAACAATAAGGATATTTTTTTAATCAGACTATTAGCCGTAGCGACTTTTTAGACCAAACTATTAATTTGGGGCATGTTTATTCAATTTCACATAATTTAATAATAGTTTTTTTTTACTCTTTTTCGTTTATTTTAATACTCTGTCTCATTTTAATCATTACTTTAGCTAAAAAAATTAAATTATTATAACTACATTTTAAAAAATCAATATTAAAGTTGGAAATTATTTTCAATTATATCCTTAATACTAAAGTCGTATTCTTTAATTTGCTCAATTCTAAATTTAAAAAAAATCTAATAAATAAGGAGAAAATTGTACATTATATTTATTATATTTTCTTAATAGACATGAAAAAAGGGTAAAGTTACAAGTAAAATGGAATGAAGAGAGTAATAAAAGTAAATTTTTTATTTTTATATTCAATACAGTGTCAAAAATATCTAACATATAAAAAATAGCTCATATATACCCGCATTTTACCTTTTAGTCTAAAATAATACAATCACTTTTTTCTAACACAAGAATACGCCTTAAACTAACGGATTAAGCAGGATATCTTTTTGTAATTTAAAATAGTTACGTGACTTATTATGATTTGTCATATATGTATTATTTAATTTTAAAATTCAACCCATCGGGAATCTATACAAATTTGATCAATTAGGTAAAGTATGTATCCAAATTGGACCCGATCAATATATTTATCTTGATTTGATACACGATTGTAAGAGAGTAGACACTTGTAAATAGTTTCCCTTTTTAGGGTATAATTATTCTTTTTCCTTTTTAAAACACAAATTCGACCCAACCCACCCCCACCAAAGGTCATGTGAAAGTTAACTAGTTCTTATGGTTTACTATAATTTACTTGTAATGTGTTCTGCCTCATTTTATAATCGAGTTTTAATTTTTGAATTTCTCATTTGATATTAAATAATTTTGAAGTTTGATTGATTTAAATTTTATGTCAGAAAAGTTTATTCTAATATATTTTTACTATAAACTCAATTATTACTGTAAAATATAAATTTAAAATCATCGTATAAATTCATAAAATCACGAAAACAGAAGGTCAATCTTTCAATGTCACAATCAATACCTTGTTTATTAAATATCATTGAATTTAAAGGGCTCACGTTAGTTGTATGATATGAATTCTCTGTTACATATTGCACGCAATTTATTTTTGCATTTAATAGTGATTATTATATGGTTTTATATATTGTTTTAAATTATGAGGAATCCACGTAAAAATAGTAAAACTCCTTTAATCTTCGACTCTCTTTTTTTTTTTTCATTTAAATCTTGACAGATAGAAGTATCTAGAACAAATTACACCTAATTTTAAATCCACGTATCCCGAGATACATGTATCTGGACACACCAAAATCTGATAAGATTCGAACTATTACAACATAATGTGCATCTAAGTAATTAGCTCATACACTAGTGAAATTTTTATAAGTTACCCTTAAATAAATAGTTTTGGCCCATGGACTGACCCCAATCATGCCTCAAGGGCCAAAGACTTATAAACCTTAATTTTAAATGAGCTTGAAAAATCGTATCACAACCATACCCCAATGGTGGATTGGGTCGGGCCGATCCCATGGGCCAAGCCCAATTTGATAGCTCTGGTAAAAATTCATGTTAAGTAACTATAGTTAAATGTTAAAGGTTTATGTGTAAATAAATAAATACTTATTTGTATAGAGTATTTACACCTAGCTAAATACTTAATATCAAGATCAACAAATGAAAAATGCATATCACTTAACTGTGGTTAGCTAAATGCTAAAAGACGTATATGCAAGGCATATATCTTATATTCACTGGCTCAAATAAAAGTTATCCAGTAAAATTGATGAGATACACATAAATCAAATGTGATATCATTATTTCATTATAAAAAAAATATATTTATTCAACATGACTATGCATTAGATCGTGATAAATATCATATTCACATTGAATATATATATCAATACAATAAATTCAGAATATGTCTTTTATACACATCTATGACTAATTGATATGGTTAAATGATATAAATTCAATAGAAACACCAAATGTGAATAAATATACCATAAATTATTTTCCATCGCCACTTTTTTTCTCAAAAATAAGGGAAGCCAAATATCTTGTAACACTAGCAAATATCATTGCACTTCCTTTAGATGGACAACTTTATCTGATATCTATTATTAGTGAAACATAATAAACGTTTCACAAAATTAATTGAGACGTCCATTAATTAATCCCAACACTATAATTATATAATTAAAAATAATAGTGCAAGAATAAATGTGAATATGGTGTAGAATAATTTTTTTGCAATAATAGTGCAAATGTGAGTCATACTTTAAACTTCACAATAAAGTAGTGCTTCCTTTTCACTCAATTTATTTATTGAGTGAGAAAGAAAGACCCCTTTAAACTGATTATTGAAAAAGTCGATTATTTGACTATCGTCAGATTTTTCTACAACATTCATATTCTATAATAAGATTTTGTCATAACGTTAGAATCGACTTTCATATTATATCACATGATTTGTTCTCTATAATAGCATCTCGCCATAACAATTAAAAAATATTCATGACATTGTTATAAAATGATTTGATTATATAAATGTAAACAATAGTGTATGTGGCATTTTTGTAGAGATATTAATATTGAGTAGTTTTTTGAGTTTTAAAAGGTGTTTTAATGATACCATTCCAAAATAATTTCAAACAGACAATTATTATTTTGACAAAAACATTTTATAAAAAGACAATATATAATAATATAAAGAATAAAATTTTATGCTTATTGATGTTAAATATATGTCAATTTGGCTTAGGAATTTATTCTATTTGAATTAATTTTGTTGCTCCTTATATAGTAAGAGGTTAGTGATTAAAATCTTCTTCGTATTTATTTTCTCCGTTCATTTTTATTTGTTCATTATATTAATTATATTTTTTTACTTATCCACATTAGTATATAACTATTTT